GATTAAATTTTTTACGGAAGACGCGCGTTTGGTCTATTTCTATCCCCCAGTCATCCTTGGGGTCATAACCTTTTATTCAAATATAGCAAGGGCATCAATCGTAATTAGTATGATTCGATATGATAAGTTATTATAAACTATTGTTCTATTTATGATAAAAAAAAAAAATATAACGTAATATGATGCGCTCGTAAATGGTGTTAGTTATAAGAAATAAAATTGAGAATGGAAACGGGGAATGTGTCAAAGAGACAACAAATCGACTAAAGAGCAAAAAACAGCCCGAGGCCACCAATGGGTCTTCAATACAGCGAGATAATCCCGCACCTGGAGGCGGGCTTCAGCTGCCCGTAAACAATAATGTATACTAGTTCAGGGAAAATGGACGTCACACTAAATTCCGAAACATGAAATGAACCAAAAAATAAAAAAAAATAAAATAAAATACAAGACTAACAAAGACCAGAGGTTCCTGACTTGGGAAGGCGCAAAACTGCGGCGGGGTAAGTCTGGTTTCACCATTACATACGATATTTTCTTTCACAAAGATGATATTCTTTTGTTAAATTATTCGATTTCATTCATTTTCGTTTTTATCCTCAGTCTTCAACAAGTTGCTATTTCGCTATATTTAGATACCAAATAGATAAATATAGCACGAAATATTTAGATTAGCAATTTCCCTGACCATTTGAAGATAAAAGAAGGAATTTTAGATAATAATTACATTATCATTTCAGTAAGTTAGATGCACTGTCATAACTACAGTGACGTAAGGTACATGACAATCAAAACCATTATGATTTTTATTTCTCTTTCCATAACAGGGTAGTGTTCACTGTGACATGTGCTCATTGTTGAAGGCTGCATGAACAACCAACGTTGTTATTTCCCATCATTTTATCGACACATTGTTTCGAATGTACATATACAATCTATCTTCGACTCATTGGTCACGATACTAGTACAACCTATAATCAACTCATTCGGCCCGATACATGTACAATATTGTTTTGCCTCATTGTCCCCGATAGAATATATTATCGATTCATTGGCTCCGATACGTGTGCAATATTTTTTCGACTCATTGGTCCCGATACTTGTACAATTTAACATCGATTCAATAGCCCCGATATATGTTCAATCCTATATCGACTCATTGGCCCGATATATGTACAATCTTTTATCGATTCATTGACCCCGATAGCTATATAATCCTATATCGACTCATTGGCTCTATAGTTGTACAATCGATTATCGACTCATTGGCGTCGATACATGTAAGTCTGGTATCCATTTAAGGACCATAAAATTCAGCATATTTGAAAGTTATCTTTATCTAATATTGTCTAATACAAGTATCCATCTTAGCTATGCAGCAAAAGGACAAACAAGTGATTTGCATTCAATTATCTATTTATTAATATTATTTCAAACCTCATAGCTCTTCGACAATTGGCAAGACGATCTTTGATATTCGAACAATTTACAAAAAGGATACTAACATGACTTACGATAAAATACTTGACAGTACAACAAACCATAACAACAACCATTAACCGACTCCAACGAAAAATATAAGCACAAACAAATAAAACCAACAACGAACAATACATGGTCTGGATAATCTGATTTGGTACAGATACAAAATGTGGGGAGCTGAACATCTATTTTCATTTATATAAATATATTGAATATTCATTAATGAAAATAAGACAATCTATCGTATATAAACTTTTCTGTTAGTTTTTCTTGATTTGTTTTACACATTCAAGTATATTTTTTGGGGAAAAATTGAAAAATAGAAAATAAAAAAGAAACAAAATTTCAAAGATACTAGACACTCTTTTCAGATGAAAATTTATTTCTTTTGGAAGCATATCATGTAATCATGTAAAAAATATTGTCTTGAATGTGTAAACTATTGTAGTTATTATAAACATGTATATATTTTTTAAAAACATGCTTAATGATTTTTATATTGTATCGAAACTAAATATTCACCAATGACAATGTATTTACACGAAAGCAATCAATAGCTTTGATTGCATAGATAGATGGTTGAAATGTAAAAGTGTGCTTAAACTTCAAAAGATGACGATAATAATCTTTCTGAAATATGCACGATCCGGTTGTTAATTTGCTAACGTATATTGATGGGATTGACTCTAAATTTAAAAATCGATCAAATATCTTGTACTGATCATATACAAATATCATTGATATATAGCAGTTAAAAGACGAAGCAAAGAAGAAGAAAAAACCTGAACAGATGGTTGTCCTTTTTAAGTATGTCATAGATAATGTGACACGAGTCCGTGGAGATAAAACTTACATTAACATGATAATGCTATCATACTTTATTCATGTTATTGACATATTTCAAATTTGTTATGCATCGAAAAATTTGTATTGATAATTAATACAGTAACTGTTAATACTTTTTCATTTTTGTTGTTTAGTTGCATACAACATGTGCACAATAAACACATGTGAACTGCTTCCATATTTGTTAAAGATACATTTGACTATATTTAGAGAATTACGTGTTAATAGATATGAGAAGATGTGGTGTGAGTGCCAATGAGACAACTCTCCATCCAATTCAAAATTTATAAAAGTAGACCATTATAGGTCAAAGTACATGTACGGTCTTCAACACAGAGCTTTGGCTCACACCGAACAGCAAGCTATAAAGGGCCCCAAAATTACTAGTGTAAAACCATTCAAACGGGAAAACCAGATCTAGTTATGGCATCTTCAAGACAGAGATATCATCATATTTAGGTCTTGACTTAATTTATGTACTCGCTCCACAGTACTTATACTAAATACAAGATACTTATCTATTGTTGATAACTGACTGTTGACCTACATATGTCTTTTGAATTTTGTGTTTCGGAATATACATCTTTTGTACTATAATAATATATATTCATATACAGATATAAATAATAAAACAGATACACATCATGTATATTTGTCTGATTACATACGAAGCTTCAAAACATTTATATGCATGCAGCACACGAGTTATTTCGCTCTTTTACAGTTTTAAAGATGGTATGAGGAACACTTCAACATATTAAAAGGTATCAACCAATCATAGTTTGTTTTGGGGAGGATTAGTTTTTGCTCAGGACAACCATGTTTTGAAAACAGCGAAACAGCATCAAACTTTCTGATAAATAACGAACACAACTATAGAAAGCAGATAAGGTATCTGTTCTGTGTTTGTCAGATATTCCTTTCACATTATTTGCGTACCAGCAATTCTGGAAGACAAACAAAACTAAATAAAAATCCACGGAATGGCATCAAGTAAAATCATTTGTGAATGTTACAAATATTAAGGTAAATATGCATCACTTTTGAACCCGAATCCACATCTACGCGGATAAACGTAAATGGTTTATTCGGGTCTGGCGTATCAAATTAAAGCTTGGTATCTTTGATGAAGAACATATTATAATTATAATTAAAGTTTACGGTTTCGATATATATATTATATATAGTTCAGTCTATGTGGCCGTGTGGTCTAGAGCGCTGGACACAGTGCAGGCGGTGTTGTCTCGATATTCCAATAGCATGAGTTCGAATCCCGGCGAGAGAAAAACAAAAAATTGCTTCCGCAAATTTGCAGATTTAACATTGTTGTGCTGATATTTAGAGTAATTATATATATATTTATATAAAGTGTAATTATTTGCGTACTTACCTCCAATGCAATAGGTTTTGGTTCGACCCCTGATTTGGTCTGTAAATTAACCGATTGTATTCTCCTCCCAATCGTGGCAATTCAGACTGAGTCTGGATTCAAATATCGGTTGACGCATTATGCAAGCAGAAGACGCATACCCTGTCTTTACACCAAGTCTTACTCCCTCGGGAATTTATCCGCTTTTATCAGGTTTTCTTTCCTTGGTTTGTATATTCAAAATGGGTTTAGTCGAAAAGTATCAGTCAACTATTTCAAATTAACCATGCAGCACTTAGGAGTATAAACAACCATTTTTGGCCAGAGTATTTTCTGAGAGTAAATATATATGTTAACTTAATAAATGTTGATGATTGTAAATGAGACAACTATCCACCAGAGAATAACAGACATTGGATGTAAACAATGACCAAAATCCATACCGTACAGTCATTTGTGAAAAGTTCCTGCAAAATGTAATTCAATTCAAAAGAACAAAAAAAAAGCATCGTCCAAATTTATGCCATAAACAACAAATAAAACATACAACAACCAAGGACAACCTTCCAATTACAGGCTCCTGGTTTAGGACAAACGCAAAAATAATATGGCGTTGTTAAACATGTTTGTGGGTGCTGAACTCTCCCCTCAACCTGTGACAGTAGTGTAACAACACAATATAAGAATAAACTATAACAATTATCTGGATAGAGATTGACTCTACAGATCGGCACTTATCACAGAAAAAAAGGCAAATATGTAAAAACACCGCACTAAGAGTATTCGTAGTAACGTCCGGGTACAGTGATATGTTCCAGACGTACGTACTGTTTATACATTTGGACGTGCAAAATTCCCCACTATAGAAATAGTATTTATAAGGCGGTATAAAGTTAGAAATCCAGTAATATCATATCATCCAATGTTTCCACTGCCGTGTTGGTAGATTGTCTGGATGTCTCAGCTCACTAGTTTTTGTGGTCACATTTCTTTAGATAACAATAAAGTCGACCGATCTGTTATTTTACCGATTGTGACATTTTCATTTTGACTAACTGTGGATTCAAGTGACAGAAGTTTTTAATTTTTATGCATATAAAGCCTACCTATACTTCCTCGTTCACATGAAATATTGAGTTATTCAGTTTCCTTTAATCCTCCTGTATTTTAAATGTGTAATTTGTATGCAGTTACATGGATTATGTAAACAACTTATATGAATGAGTTAAGATTTTATTAGATACAATATACTTGAAAAATAGTATAAAGTTAAATGCTATTGACAACGAATTCAATGAACACAGTCAACAATCGAACGGTTTTAACTTACAAATACACTAACTTGTTGTCAGATATTTTGCTTTTGGTTTTTTGAAAGACTGAATTAGAGCTACACGACAGGTAAGCAAATTTCTCTCCATTCTTCTTGCTTTTACCAAACTTTATAAAGATAAGATGTAATATTATTGCAAATGAAACAATAATCCCCAAGAGTGCAAATACCGTTCGATTTTCACTTAAAACCAAACTGTATAGTCAGCTACCTCTGATTTCGGGTCCAGGTTTGGATTTACTTTTAATCCTCTTTAGTTTAAACAACTATTAAACGTTTGAATAAGACTTTGGACTTTCTAATACTATGGTATCGGGCATGACCGGAGAAGAAGGTATGCTGTCTGATATTTAAAAAAAAATCTTTTTGGGGTTTAGTTCATTTTGAAATAAAGTGTAATTTATTAGTTCCTTCAGACACTTGTAAAAACAAGATCAATGATAAAATTGAGAATGAAAATGGGGAATGTGTCAAAGAAACAACAACCCGACCAAAGAGCAGAAAACAGTCCAAGGCCACAATGGGTCTTCAACACAGCGAGAAAATCTCCCACCCGCAGACGGGCTTCAGCTGGCCCCTAAACAAAAATTTGTACCAGTTCAGTGAAAATGGACGTCACACTAAACTCCGTAACATATAAATGAACTAAAATTAAAAAAAAATACAAGACTAACAATGGCCAGAGGCTCCTGACTTGGGACAGGCGCAAAAATGCAGCGGGGTTAAACATGTTTTGTGAGATCTCAACCCTCCCCCTATACCTCTAGCCAATGTTGAATTAACAAACATACAGCAATACGAACAGTAAAAATCAGTTTAAAAGAAGTCCGAGTCCGATGTCAGAATAGGTAACAGACGAAACTAAGCCAAATGACAATGATACATAAATTAACAAAGGAATACTAGCAGTTACTGACATGCCAGCCCCAGACTTCAAATAAACTGATTATGTCTTCATCATATGAAAATCAAGCACAATCCCTCCCGTTAGTGGTTTAGTATCATACCATCATAAAATATATGAGAAGAACATAACCCGTATCATGCCAACAACTGGTTTTAGAATAAATGTGTTTATTTCCGATGCAAAGACCCTATGAGTGAATCAATATTAATTCCAAAATATGCCATCTTTAATGACCTGACAACAGTGAATAAGTCTGTTTAAAGGTTTGGTTAGCTTTTGGGGTGAATGACAACATTTTTGTGCTCTGTATGGAATATTACCATAAAAGATTGGATGTGAAATACCTGAACGTATAAGATGTCTGCAAGTTGATTTACTGACACTGTACCGATAATAAGATTTAGTAAATGTTTTGACTAGTTTGTGATGTCGAAAACCCGGGTGTAACAATTTTTAAGTAATACAGAGGTTTCTTTCGTTAAAATCAAATACGTTGTTACAGACACGAGCGTATCGAGCAAGTTGAGATATATAAACACCATAAGATGGTGACAAGGGAACGTCACCATCTAAAATGGATAATTACCAATAGGAAATGAAAAATCATCTCTTTTATCGTAAATTGTGTTATTGAGCTTCCCGTTAAAGATAAAGATATCAGGATCCAGGAAAGGGCAGTGTTCATTTTTAATATTAACTTTACTTAAAGTCAGTTCAGCAGGATAAATCTCTTTAGTGTACATACTGAAATTGTCATTATTGAGAACCAATATATCATTCAAATATCTAAGAGTGTTATTTAATTTTTGTATCAGATGTTGTTTCGATGGGTCTTTTCTGATTTTAGTCATAATTTGTAACTCATAACAATACAGAAACATGTCCACAATAAGTGGTGCACAGTTAGTCCCCATTGGAATTCCGATAACTTGACAATATATGGAATCTCCATAGCGAACAAAAATGTTTTTTTAGTAAAAAAAACAGATGCAGTTATCGTATCAAAGCAGGTCCAACTGACATAGTTGTTTTGTTTGTTGTTACTTAAAAAATTGCCTAAAAGAGTTTGAACATATATATTCACATTCTGACTTTTTAAATGCCTATTTAATTAGATGCGTGAATTTTTTCTTAATGAGATTATGAGGCAAAGTGGTATCTAGGGTAGAAAAATCAAAACTTTGAACAGATTCGAAATAACATATATTATCATGCAATTTATCAAGTACTTTCAACGAATTTTTGACACTCCAAAAGTAATTAATTCCACTATTTTCAAAGGCCTTATTTGAACAAATTATTACCAGGTTTTTGATTGTACCAAGTGTACTAATAAGTAGAATCAGAAGTCCATTACTAGAGGAAGTGTGCAACCCGCTATATAGTAAGGCGATCACGTTGTTCCCGTACTTCAAACTGTGATTCAAACGGGATTTGAGCGAAATTGCTATTAATAGTAACAAAAATCAATGGCCAAATTTTTGGCGATGCATTCTGGGTAGAGATAATTTATGTATAAAATCCCGCGAATTAATTAACGCACTATCGCATAGAAAGATAAAACATGGATAATACAATTAAAAGCTGATGGTGATGTTTGTAATGGCTGATTTTAATGAATATGTATCTAAAAAAAATTTACAAGAGTTACACATTGTAAATTTTGTGAAAAAAACTCTTTGTTTTTAAGTTTTCATGGAAATTCAACGTCGGACTTATAATAGTTTCTAAAATTACTGATGTTTATGATCAACTGCAAGCAGAAAGAAACAGTTACATGTACGAAGCCTTCTTTTTTGAATACCATCAGTCATGTGCTAAATTGTTGCCGGTAAGAACGCCCGATTAATGCGACACAAATGATTTTAATCAGATATTTAACTTTTATGTCCACTGTGTTTTTGACTTTCATCAAGAAAAAGAAATTGAAAACAACAGACAATCTACAGAAAAAACGTACGTTAACTTCGCCAGTAGGATGAAACCCTGGAAGTATTATATAATAAGTTGATGTTAGTTTTTTCTGTAGATTGTCTGTTGTTTTCAATTTCTTTTTCTGATGAAACTGAAGATGTCTATTAGCGTTTGGAGGAAGAACAATCATGGTGAAATATGGAGAGTTAACAAAAAGAAGAAGATACAGTTTCATTAATTCATAATTGATATCACAATGATTTTTTATATTTTTAGGCCGGGTTATTATTCGAAAACAATGCATTTTTCTGCACTTATTTCAGTCTATAGTTACTATGACCTTTCCCGTGGACATTGTACTCTTAAAATGGATAAGGAATTGTCCTCTTATATTTTAAAATTGGTTTCAAACACCGTGTAAGGTTCCAGAGTAACAGTCCAGAACTCATTCCTGCATTACTTTCGATCTATTTTAGTTAACATGACCTCAGACTCAGACGTCTTCCTCTCATTTGTGATCATATATCCAAGTAAGGTTGCCAACTACGATATTAAAGTATTTGATTTAGTATCCGGAAACCAAGGTGACTTACGTACGAATGGACGGACGGACAGACGGAGGAAAGATAAAGAACTATTTACCACTACGTCGTAGCCTGGGTATAAAACAACGTAGTATTCTTATATTATTTTGCGTTCATATGTACAAAAAAAAAAAACACGAAGCGTTAGTTTGCATATATGTGCAATTACAGATTTGCATCAAGGGGTTCGATCATACAAATTTGTCGATGCATAATTTGCATGCGTCTCACGTATTGCGTTCACATGCAAGTTTTACACCTATATGTATGTCTACAGTCATGCGTATCTAAGCATGGATGTTCTAAAGTGTGAATGTGAACGTCCCATAGGTCTTTAGACAGGAGATATAAGACCAGTATATAAATAAAGGCAACAATAGTATACCGCTGTTCGAAATTCATAAATCGATTGAGAAAAAAAACAAATGCGGGTTACAAACTAAAACTGAATAACATCGATTTAAAATAGAATTGTAAGACAGGATTTTAAGAAATAAATATTTTAAATCAAAATTACTGAAGTTTTTCTATGCGAGTTTTACGAGTATTCAATATACTTGTACTTGTATTTTCCGAATCTTTAATTTTTTATATCTCGAAAAGAATAAAAGTTCTATATATCATTTTCTGAATGGACATACATGTACCATGTTAACCATAGTATTTCCACGTATAATTAGTCAAGCTTACATGTGGCGCATATGATCGCATATTACCTTTTCGTGATAACCTTTCCTGCACTTGACTGACTTCTACGGCCTCCGTATACAGTATATAGAAGAAAGGGGGAGATACCAATTTTGAATTATTAAGTTTGACAAGGTAATGTTCCAATTTACGTTAAGCAACAACAAAAATTTCGATTCAAATTCTTACATCTTGCTGTACGGATGTCACTGTGTATAATTGTATATGTATAACAAGCGAACCTAACAATTTCGTGGGATTCTTACGGTATTCAGATTTCAATAATACGAAATATTTTTATTGGTTTTTCCTATCATGGAAGTATTATATTGACGAATCTTTAAACAGGTGCTCAAGGTCAAAGAGATCCTACTGTTTGTTAATTACTAGAACGATAATTACCGCTGCGTTCTAAGTACATTGATGCTCATTTTACAGGTGCATGTTTATAACTAAATCCTTTTTCAATACCGAAGGTCATTGGTTCTCTATGGCCACTCCGGTTTCCTCCACCAATAAAACTGACCGCCACGAAATAGCACAATAGTGCTGAAAGTGGCGTTAAACACCAATCAATCAATTAACTAAATCCTTGTTTATTATAGATGTTATCTTAATCTTGTGCATTAAAACTATAAAAAAAGTTGTTTGTTGTAAAATTTTAATCTTGCTTAGTATGAGGTTACAATTAACCACAATTCAATACCATGTATGACGATGTTGATATTTTTATTCTGATTATAAAACATCAAATATAAATAAATAATCATAGACAGTTAAAACTATTTCAATTTTTGCTCTTATCCACTCTTACATATGATATAAAAACGGAATTATTGTCCAATACTGCAACAGAAGCTGTACGTTGAAACTTCAAATTTTACTCTTCAGTCTGCAGTTTTGATAAAGAATCTAAATAAGTATTGCACTGTGTACTTGAATCTTTGTTGGTTTTATTCATTTTCACATACTGATA